GCTAAACAATGGAGCTAGACTTTAATTTGCAATGGCTTCGTAATTATCACATTTTCACAAAAGAAAAACGTGAATAATTATTTTAAGTATTCTGTCCTCTTTAATTTATTGCATATAGAATTCGTCAACGAGTTGAAAGCATTATTGTTAACTAATTGACTTTCACCACAGGAGAGGCAAAAGTAGCGAAATATTTTCGGTTATAGTTTCATTAATTTCACCAAATTAAATGAAACGAAATGAAAATATTACAACTACCATGAAGATTAATTGGTTTATAGTGCAGATGTGAGGAACGAGTTAAGTCTAAAAGCATGCGTACCTAGAGTGTAAATTGTGGGCTTGCTTAACTTTTGTTTTACAGGATCCATTGGGTGTTACGATTCGATCTATGGGTTTGCAAATAGCATTGAAGCGGAGATTTACATCTATTATCTATTTTCTAGCTCGTTTTTATTTTTGCAGCCATATACAGTTCGATATTGTTATTAATTCTTTTCATGTATGTGTTATCTATACAACCAGGCAATTATATTTAAATTTGGTTATGGCAGGTATAGTGGAAAAATGGATCACCTTTTATAGTTACGACAGTTTAGGTGTGTAGCAGCGTAATTCTAGGCCTACTTCCTGCATTATTCAGTGTAACTTCCTTCTATACTGATCATTTTAAGGGATATAAATATAGGCACGAAGTTTTCTTAGCTATGATAAAATAAGTTTAATAACTATGTAATTGCCCTTTGCTATTTCAACACAATCAGGTGTATTTATGATTGAGTAGGCCCATAATTTTGTGGTATTCAGCTACTCTATGCTCACATTTAGGCTGTCTACATGAAGATAAACCAAATGATAACTTATAATGACGGCATGCTAACAAAATCTAAACTTATTCAATAAGCTTATTCTTACGAGCGATGAGAAAGTCTGAGTGATCAAAGTTGTTAGAAGAATTCGAAGCTGATATGTGTCAAGAATTGTATTAAATAAAAGGTGAAGATAAAAATATTGCAGTGCAAGTCGCCTTCTAGAATTGTTGAGAAAATTGTTTTTTTGGTGTAGTCTATGCATTATCCTAAAATATAGCATACAATGTCTACCTATAGAACCAATGCATATTACAAAAGTAAATCATTTTCATAAAAATCGCCATACTCCCCACATCATAAATTAATTCGGCCTTTTTTTCTCTAGTTGCGCAGGCGATAGTCATTTTTATTCAAGCCGTGCGTGAATATATGGAATATTTGAGAAAAATAAATTTTGCTCAGCTAAATTGTTATTTTCATTTCTTTTTGGTGGCTGAAATAACAACTAGTAATTAAACTTTATACATTATATTCTACCTAAAGCAATATTCAAGCACAGCCTATGCGCTATTTTTCCCGTGCTTAATTTATATAATAAAAATTTCTAATTCTTATTTGTAAATTGTTTTGTGTATATTTTTACTTAATTGTTCTTCCTATTTGGCTTAAGCAGGAGAGGAAGTGAAGAATCCCGGTAAGGCCATTCCGATCGGTATAATTGGCTGTCTACTCATCTGTTTCCTGGCCTACTCTAGCGTATCCGCCATTCTTACTCTACTGATGCCCTACTACATGATCAATACACTTGCTCCTTTGCCCCACGCCTTTGATTATGTTGGATGGCACTGGGCCAAATACGCTATTACCATTGGAGCACTGTGTGCCCTGTCAACCAGGTAACCATTAAGTTGGCGAAATAACATGGACTTCTTATAGAGACATGGTTGTATTGTAATGATGTTCATTGAAACACAATGTTGATAGAGCTAGCTCAAACAATGTTTTACAGAAATTTATATAATCAAACTTATTTATTCGCAATGGTCATGTAATTTGATTCTTTGATTATACTAACTTGCAAATGGGATAATTATCAACTTCACATATTTTAATTAATATTTCATAATAGACAATATCTTCTTTAAGGACTAAATAAGAGGATAAATAAATCGAAATTTTCTGAAATGACCGATCATTTATTGAAGGAGACTAAAAGTAAGCGGATTAAATACTCGATAAGCAGGAAAATCTCGATGTTACGTTATATTTTCATCCCCAGAGTATAGGAAAGTCGGGTCAACAACATTTTTATGCGTTCAACTTCCCTTTACATGGATCGACACATACAAACACCAATTAAAAAAAGAATCTTATTATATATATATATATATATAAATTATCAGCTAATTAGTGTACAGTTACGAAAACCTTAATAAAAATACCGCTCTAACTAAAGAGACATCAAGCAATATACAGGATTTTTACTTAATACTTCTTTTACTTAGCTTAATGCAGCCAATTCATTTAGAAAGAAATGTGAATTAAAATTAGAAAAACTAGCCAAAAATGATAAAGATTAAAGAGAGGCGGTAAATCAAGCTTTATTCCATGCTCCCATTTTGCATAGGATATCGTCAAGCAAATTGAATTAGATAACGAATGCTTATGCTGAAAGCGCCAAACATTTTAGCTAGAAACCTTAATCTTTAACTGAGAAATAAAATTAGAATGACCACCTTATTGATATACTCAAATTTAAGTTTAAGAAGAATTTTTCTACTACGGTAAGTTTAAGTTTCAGATAATCTATTCGTTATTTTGTTAGCATCCGCAGTATTTTAATTTGGGATATCTATTTTCCCCTTTACTCGATTAAAGGTTTCGATGAATGTCCTGATATAACATTATTGTTTGGACTTTCATTTCTTATGAAAGTGTATGAAGAAGAGATTCGAAGGTCGATCTTATCAAACAAATTATATATATATATA